CGGCAACACGAGTTCTTTGAAGGTTCGAACGCCATCAAGTATGGATATAGATGGTGAACTGGAAATATTGATGCAAGATTACGTAATTTTATTGCACATAGCAAAAGTTCTGAATGATACGCGCGACAGCGTAACCTATATCGGAATAAAAGAACCTGATATTTGCAAACAACGTGCGAAATTGTCTGAGGATCTATTAATTCAAGTGGGCGAAGACAGAATCAAATATGTTTCGCAAATTGCCAAGAATTCGGTAAAGTATAACATTTACACAAAATAAATATCCTTGAATGACGCAACGCGCATGTCTGCTTCTATCGTGAGTACTAGCGTGATAAACAATCTTGTGGGCTTTAACCGTTGAAGTACAAACAGTAAAAATACTAGTCAAATTTTAACATAAAAATGCAGTTATATGCAAAATAATTGTGAAACAATTATCAAAGAGAAATTGTGATTGTTATCAAAGATAGATATCATGTATAAAAAAAAAACATATATGCAACTTCGCAATATTTGTCTATGCTTATTACAGATTAGTCAGTTGACCGGTCAAATATATGCGTTTTGCGACGATCAATGTACGAATTGTTCACTAAGAAACGGAGAATTATATGAAGTAATGGTTATTGTAACGGAATGCGACTCTTCTGGTGAAGATATCATATTAAAGAGAAAAAAGTCCTTCTACTGGACTAGTGGATGTTCATGGGGACATCAAAGTGAAGTGTGACTTATTTGTATCATATTAATCATTACTGCAGCGTGCGTTATATATTACTTTTATAAAAAATAGTGTCTTGTGTTTTGTTTTATTTAAGAATAGTCATGTCGTAACCTATATCCCTAACAGCACGGGGACGTTCTGAGGACGTTCTGAGTAGATCGCAATGCGTATATTGCGATCATCTCAGAATGTTTTCATATGTACTGCGATCGAATGAGTACGTTCTGAGTAAATACACGCGCGATACAAATGCGTACGTATCATTTCAGTCAAACTTGAGAATGTACGCACGCGATAGAAAAGCGTACGTATCATTTCCGTATCCCTGAGTGAAATCTGAGAACATTCGCACGTGAAAGAAAACCGAATGATACTATAAGTGACGTTCCAGCGTTCAACTTAGTACGTCACAGATGATCACAGTACAATGAGTACGAAAATGGGATGATACGCAGTACATCGCGTGCTGTTAAGGATATATCTTTAATAATAATTATTAGAATATACATGTTATATTAACATGTATAATTAATTAATTATTAGAATATACATGTTATATTATTAGAATATACATGTTATATTAACACTGCTATATCACTAGTATATTTGACGAATCAATTTATCATATAGCTTAACTGTGACAATATGTAATAAATAATTTATATAATCTTGTTCTCCGCAATAATGTGTTTAATTTTTATAGAAGATAACAGTAATCCCTCATGTATTGAGAAAATACGTTTGAACTCTTTTGTAGTAAGTAATTAAATATATTTGACCTGATCTTATATTTTTCTAACTTGCAAAAGAAATTTTTTAAAGAAATCATATTCTTATGCCATATGAAACTCTACACTTTATTCTATCCCCTATGACCATCAAGTTAGTCCTTATGTTTTACAATTATTCGTATTGATTCAATCAAAAAGTTTGGTAGAATTTTTAATAAATCTTAGATGTTAAACTGGTTATATTCTACGACGATAATACACAATTATTACTAGAATGGCAAAAGGATCAAAAATATTAGTAGTGATTGCTTAATTCATAGATAATTTGTATCCATTGGATAGAAGAAGAATACAAATTTAATAGTTCTCCCGTTTTTGGTTCGAATAATAAAGAGTGCCCACATATTGATCTGTAACAAGGAATATACAACAGGGGTGTTTACGTGTAGCAATCGAATTTCCAATCAGATTGATATAATCGCAGTGATGTAAATTATCTAGAGAAAAAGTTTCCTAGGCTAATCGGATTACCAAATCGTATCCGTGAAGGAAGGATCGGATTAGCGGATATGCAGAGGAACGTTGCGTAAATACTTAAATCTCTTAAGAAATAAATATTAAGAAGTATTAAATAGAAAAATAAGTATGTGCATTGTTATTTTCATTATAATTAACGTCTATTCTTCTGCAGATGTATAAAGATAAATAAAGATTTATTTCTATTTTACTGATATGTGTATATTAAAGAAATAAATACATCTTAACCTAAATGTGCTTCAGTCGTTAACATACAAGTTTATTAAAATATAAAATATTTTCAGAGTTAAGGAATTATGGAAATGAATGAGAAAGGAATGTTTGAACAGTCAGTTTTGGTATGTATATATACATACCAAATGACTGAAGCACATTTAGGTTAAGATGTATTTATTTCTTTAATACACACATATCAGTAAAATAGAAATAAATCTTTATTTACCTATATATATATATATAAGAATACACGTTAATTGTAATAAAAATAATAATGCACATACTTACTTTTCTATTTACTTCTTAATATTTATTTCTTAAGAGACGTAAGTATGTACGCACCCATATAGCACATGATGTAACAAGGATATCCTGTTTAAGTCACAAATATTTCAGCAACTTTCGAGAGACATCTGTATGAGATATCACATACAGATGTCTTTCAGATATTTAAAATTTCACCAGGATATCTCTGTTACCTGAGTGCTGTAAGATACACGTACACCATCTAGCGGCAGAGTGACGGAGTAGTACATGTTTTGCGAGTTCACCAATGTATAAGCAAGAGGTTATGTATAGTAGTGACACCGTATATTGTGGTTTTTTGAAATTAGAGGTAAATATTTCAATATAATTTAATATTATCGTCTTTGTTAATATTTTTTTTACATTGAAATATATACCACGCTTGTAATATAATATAGGAGGCTAAAAAGGATTATAACAAAGTTTGGTGATACATCCATTATATTTATGTAAAAAGTATAATACGTTTTATTGAAAATAAATTGTTCAGAATTACAATGTCTCAAATAAAAAGAAGAAAAGACTTAAAGTTTATGTCAAAGAGAAATATCCGAAGAATTATTCAGTCAGAAATTCAAAGAAGTAGTGCTTTAGATTTACACGGTGAACATAAGACTGGCTATAGAGACTTCCGTTTCCGGAGTGGATGTGCGTGGACGTGTAGGATAGAAGTTGAATATTGAAAAGGCGAAGAGGGAGTGGAGGGTGTGAGTTGGAGGAGAGTGAGAGGGAGGAGAGAGAATGGAAGGAGTGGAGAGGGGGAGAGGAAGGGAGGTGAGTGTGGGTGGAGGAGGTGTGAGAGATAGAGAGTGCGAGAGTGAGTGTGGTGAGAGTGAGGTTAGGAGTGCGGTGTGAGAGATTGGGAGGGTAGGGGTAGGAGAGGTGAGAGGGGACGAGGAAGAGTGCGTGCGTAGGCATGAGTTGAGTAGAAGGTAGAGAGGAAACCGGCATAGAACGAAGTAGAGCGAGAAGGGAGAGTGGTGTGGAGTAAGTCTGGGAGTGAGAAGAGTATAGAGGGAAAACGAAGTGGCAGAGAGATAGTGTGAGGAGAGTGAATTAAGGGAGACAGAGAGCAGGGAAGAAACAGGTAGATTAAGGCTTTGGGATAGGAAATGGAGGGTTTGGGGAAGGGGATGGCAAGGGGGTTGGGAGGAGAAGGGAGGGAGCGTAGGGGGAGTACAGGCATGATGGAGGTGCCGAAAAGGAAAAGAGATGTGATGGAATGGTTAGAGGGAGCAGGGGGAAAGGAGAAGCAGGAGGAGGAGGGTAGCTTCCAGAGGAGTAAAAAAACCTCGAGGTCACCGGTGGGGAGAAGGATGGGGGAGGATGAGGGGATGATGGAAACGTTGAAGGGGTGGATGGAGGAGATGAGAGGAAGGTGGGAAGGGATGGAGGAGAGAATGGAGGATAGGGTGAATATGATAATGGGGGAGCTAGAGAGTATGAGAGGAAGGGAGGAGGAATGGAGAAAAGAGAGGGAGGGAATGGAGAGGAGAATTGAGGAGCTGGAGAGAAAGTGGGAAGGGAGTATGAGCATAAAGGGAAAGGGGAAGGGAATGGAGGAATTGGAGAAGAGGGTGAAGAAGCTGGAGGAAGGGGGGTGAAGGGAGGGGAGGATAAGGGGGTGGAGGAGAGGGTAAGGAAGATGGAATGGTCGTGGGAAAGAATGGAAAGGCAGGAAAGGAAAAGAAATGTAGTGGTGAAAGGGTATAAAGGGGAGGGGAAGGAGGTGAGGAATGTGATAGGGGAGATATTCAGGAGCATAGGAGCGGAGGTGAAGGTAGAGGAGGCGAGAACGATGAGAACGGGAAGAGAAGAGTGGGGGGAGATGGCAGTGGTGAAGCTAGAGACGGAGGAGGGGAAGAGGGAGGTGATGAGAAGGAAGAAAGGATTGAGGGGGGGAAAGGTTTGGATAGAAGAGGATTTGACTTGGAGAGAAAGGCGGGCTAGATGGAGATTTAGAGAGGCGGTCAGGGTGGAGGAAAAGAAGGGGGCGAGGATTTGGATGGGAGTGAATAGGGCGATGATAAACGGGGAGTGGTGGTTCTGGGATGAGAAGGAGGAGGGATTGAGGAAGGGGAAGGCAATCGGGAGAGGAGAAGAGGGTAATGAGGCATCGGGGGAAGGGGGAGGGGGGTTAGGTAGGGAGGGAGGGAAGGAGCAGGAGGGAAGTAGGACAAGGAGAGGGGAAAGTCGGAGGGATGGGGACAAAGGGGGAAGGGAGAGTGGAGGAGTGAGGATGGAGGGGAGAGGTGAAGAGGCAAGGGATGGGGGAGAGGAGGGAGGGATGGTGAAAGTGGCTTTTTGGAATGTGGCGGGGATTAGGGGGAAAGAAAGGGAGTTCTGGAAGGAAATAGAGGAATGGGATATAGTGGTAATGTCGGAGACGTGGATGGAGAAAGGGGGGTGGGAGAGGGTGAGGGGAAGATTGTCGAGGGAGTTTAAATGGGAGATGCAATGGGCGAGTAGGAGGAATAGAAAAGGGAGGGCGATAGGGGGAATGATGATGGGAATAAGGAAGGGTATAGAAGTGGTTGAAGAGGAGGAAATGAGGGAGATGGAGGGAATGATGATGAGGGTGATAAGGGTAGGAGGTGAGAAATGGAGAATAGTGGGGGTGTACGTTAGCGGAAACATGAAGGAGATATGGGAGAGGGTTGGGGGATGGGAGGCGGATGGAAGGAAGGGGATAAGAACGATTGTTGGAGGAGATTTCAATGCGAGGACGGGGGAGTTAGGGGGTTGGATAGAATGGAGGGAAGTGAGGGGGGAGGAGGGGGGTAGGAGGTCGAGAGACAGGAAGGTGAACAGGGAGGGGAGGGAGTTGTTGAGAAGATTGGAGGAAGAGGGGTGGTATATATTTAATGGGCGTGGGAAAGGGGATGAAGAGGGGGAGTGGACGTATGCAGGGGGAAGGGGGGTATCAGTGTTGGATTATGTGGTAGGGGACGGAGAAGTATGGGAGAGAGTGGAAAGGATAAGGGTGGAGGATAGGGTAGATTCAGATCACTTTCCGGTGGTGGTGTGGATTAAAGGGGGAGGGGGGATCAGTAGAAAGGTAGGAGGAGGGAGAGGGAGGAGGTGGAGGTGGACGGAGGAGGGCAGGAGAGAGTTCAGGGAGAGAATAGAGAGGGGAGCGAGAAGGGAAAGGGAGGATATAGGATGGGAGGAGATCAAAGGGGATATACAGGCAATAATGAGGGAGGGGCAGGGGGAGATTGGGGGGGTGGGAGGGGGAGGATGGTGGGACCGAGAGTGTAGGAGAGAGAAGAGGGAGGTAAGGAGGGAGTTAAGAAAGTGGAGGAAAACGGGAGGAGGAGGGGAGAGATATAGGGAGGTTAAAGGAGGATATAATAAACTGTGCGAGAGGAAGAGAAAGGAAGAGGGAGAGAAGTGGGCGGAGGTGGCTAGGAATGCGAAGACGGAAGGTCAGGTGTGGGAGGTAGTGAATAGGGAGAGAAGGAGGAGAAGGGGGGTGAACGAGGGGATCAAAATGGAGGAATGGACGGAGTACTTTAAAGGCTTAATGGGGGGAGTGGAGGGAAGAGTGGTGAGAGGGACAAGGGGGAGGGAGGAGGAGGATGGGGAGCCGGGGATTACAAGGGAGGAGATCGAGAGAGCGGTGGGGAGGTTGAAGGATGGGAAGGCGGTGGGGGAGGACGATATTCTTGGAGAGGTGTGGAAGTATGGTGGGGAGAGGGTAATAGATGGGTTGTGGGAGGTATGTGATAGGGTGTGGAGAGGGAAGGAATGGATAGAGGAATGGAATGAGGGGATAATAGTACCGATAAGAAAGAAGGGGGATGGGGAGAGGGTAGGGGACTATAGGGGGGTAACGATAACATCGTCGGCGTACAAGGTGTATGCGATGGTGTTGGGGGAAAGAATGGAGAAGGAGATAGAGGAAGGGGGGATGGTACCACAGAATCAAACGGGGTTCAGGAAAGGAATGGGAACGATCGACAATATATATGTATTGAATCACTTGGTGAGTAAACAGATAAGCAGAGAGAAAGGAAAGCTGGTTGCGTTTTTTGTGGATCTGAGAGCTGCGTTTGATTCAGTGGACAGAGAGATATTATGGAGGACGATGAGAAGGAGGGGAGTAAGGGAGGGGTTGGTGAGAAGATGTGAGGACTTGATGAGGGAAACGAGGAGTAGGGTGAGGGTGGGGGAGGAGAGGAGTGAGCAATTTTGGACGGGAAGAGGGGTGAAGCAGGGATGTCCACTGAGTCCAGGGTTATTTAACCTATTGATAGCGGACCTGGAGGAGGAGATGAGGAAAGGGGGGTGGGGAGGGGTGAGATTGAAGGGGGAGAGAGTATACACGCTAGCGTACGCGGACGATGTGGTGTTGTTGGCAGAAGAGGAGGATGATATGAGGGCGATGATGAGAAGGTTTGAGAGGTATGTGAGGGATAAGGGATTAGAGGTGAATGTGGGGAAGTCAAAAATAATGAGGTTCAAGAGGGGGAGAGGGAGGAAAAGGAGAGTGAGGTGGAGATGGGAAAAGGGTGAGGTGGAGGAAGTGAGTGAATTTAAATATTTGGGGTATATATTTCAGAATAATGGGGGGCAGGAAAAGCAAGTAAGGGACAGGGTTAAAAGGGGGATGGCGGTTATGGGGCAAGTATGGGGGATAGGGAAGAGGAAGTTTAGGGGGGACTGGGGGAAAAGGATATGGCTATTCGATGCATTGGTGTGGACAGTGGTGGCGTATGGGGTGGAGATTTGGGGATGGGAGGAGAGGGAAGCGGTGGAGAGAATGCAGGAGAGGTATTTAAGATGGATGTTAGGGGTCAGCAGAATGGTGCC